TGATAAAAGGTATACACCATGCCCTTTATAATAATCTTAATTATTTAGTCAGCAATTGTAAAATAAAATATTCGGCACATTTTTCTATTCGATCAAATCAAAATATTTTTGATATTAAAAAATTTGGATTTTTGAATTCTGCTGATGCAAGTCTTAATCCATTTTATTTTCTTGTATCGTAGTATGTAATACTTATATCGATGTGATTTGAGTGATTTGTGATAAATTAATTGCTCAATAATAGTCATTAATAGTAATTAATTTATTATATAATAGTAGGTAGAATGTAATTAATGGCAATTAGTTCCGTAAATACGATCCCATTTTGATTAGGCATAGGAAGGTATGTCAATTTATTTTGTATATTTGAACAAATGTTTAAAATTTCTGAGAAACTATTCAAAATATTGAGGAAGTATATTTTATAAAGCATTTTATTACTAACTAAACGACAAACTATTTGAAATTTCATAAGCAAATTATTTCTGGTATTTATGGACGTTGGCATGATTATTTTTAATGAAAATTGAAATTTTGTAACTTATTGAAAATATATCAATTAATTTTATTCAGCATTAGTTTATATATAAGTACTTTATTTTTTATGATTATTTTAACAAAATGCATGGAAATTTTAATGAACATTATATTGAGCATTTCCATATTTATTATTGCTGATGCATTTATACTTCAATTCTGTTTTTTCATAAAAAATATGCAATTTTTGATAAAATAAATAATTTCAAAGTATATTGATATCAAATGAATATAATTTCACATAACCATAATCAATGATATGGTTATGAGAGCATGTAGAAAATATTTTAGTTTCTCATATTTCTAGTAATCGTTATCACTTCTATTTTTTTTTAAATCTTAGTTCATTGATTTTTTTTTCGTGTCGTAGCCTCTGGTACTATTGCAGTAAAAAGAGATTAATACGTCGGATTTAACATTGTACTTTTTAAGTCTCGTAAAATATCATTAATTTGGATAATTAATTGAATGATAATTATAATTTTAAACAGCATTGGAAGTTAGTTAATTATTTATAATTAATTAATATGGGTAACTAACTTCCAATTCTGCAATCGAGAAGATTAATATGTAGTTGATGATGATTAAATACGTAATTCTTTTTGAATTAAATCTTATGCAAATCGATTTCTTGGTTAAATTTATATTGTAGGTGTATTGTTTGTATTTCTTATTTTTATCTGGCAATCATTTTTTGTTTTCTCATATTGACTCCTATTTTATTTTCTAGATACCCAATTTATAATTTTACATCTCTGAAAGTCAACAATCTTGGACATTGGCAATTTAGATTTCATGGACTTTGGCAATTTGAAATCTTGTAAAGTACTATTCGGCTGTGGTATAAAATTTAATTTATTATCTAATATTACAACTTATTTTGGTGTCAATTATGTATTAGAAGTATCTTCAGCAATCAGCGACATAGTTATCAATACAACTCTCGTTGATTTAATGCAATCGTCATATAATAGTAATGAAAAAAAAAATTGAGTTCGATTGATAAGATTAGAACATGAGCCACTTTTACAACGTATGCAATAAGTGCGTTCTTAAGTAAATTTAGTAAAAACCCTGTTACTCAGAAATCGATTTAATAATCCGTAGATAATATTTAATTTCTTTTTAATATTTGAGTACACGTGTTCATATATACATATTTGATCATTACAATTATGAATTTTGAAGGTAAATGGGTGCCAGTATAATAATCTTTTTTCTTTATTTAGGTATTAGAAAAGTTGAATTTTATAAACTGGTGCTATAGTTATAAATAGCCTAATTATCTATAATATAAAAAATATTCTTTTTCTTCAATTCTTTTTTTGTTAAATGTTCGGTGACGTCGAAGGATCGTTCTTACGGCGAGAAAAAATCGAATAATTGCCGGAAAAAACCTGAAAACAGCCCTTTTCTTTTTCACATACAAACGTTAGTATTTTCACGTTTTTGCCATCGAATACGGAATATTTACTCAAGTCAATGGAGCGTTTTGGGGTCTGATTTTTTTTACTGTGCTCCAATTCGTATGAAATTTTGAAATTAGGTTTATCTTACTCTCAAGTTTAAGAATGAGAATAATTTAGACGCCTTTACCATTTCCCGGTGCGATGACATCCTTCTCAGTGATGTAATTGCATTTTTTTTTTCAGAATAACGTCGGATATCGATAAAAAAACTAATTATAAGAAAAAATTGTTTTTTAATGTTTTTCAAAAAAGCAAATACTCATCTTTATTTAAAGCAGTTATACATCAAAGATACATATGGGTGGTTGTATGTACATTTCGGTATAGACTGTAGTGTAAAAAAACATAATAATTTTTAACTATTTCGTAAATATCAGTATAGGTTATTAAAAAAAAAATTAACTTTTTAATTGTAAACATAAGTAGAGTCATCTAGTTTTCAATAAAAAGTTTTATATTCATGTTTATAACAAAAAACATTATAAATATTACAATCAACAAGATTTAATTATTGAAATATGAAACCAGTAAATCGAGAAGTAAAAATTATTTACCTTGGTTCCGAAACATCAAAATCAATATATTATCAAAATGAAATTAATACAAAAATGTTCATCGCACTAATATATCCTTACATATATTATAGTTTTGGCGCATTTTAGTTTAAACCAGAGGTAGGCAACATATGGCGCCTGCGGCACGATTTTAAATACGCCCTCGTTTTGCTAATAAAAATGTATGATATCCACTATCCAGAGCCAATAAACTCTGAAATGTCTATTCAATTACTCTTAAATTAGAAGAAAAAAGTTATTTTTCTAAAATCTTTAATAACTAACCAGCAATATTTTTTTTTACTAATCCACTGCAAAATACAAAAAAGCAACGATCGCGTCATATAAAATAATGTATTTACTAGCTAACAATAAAAACCATTTACAGATGAATAATTGGACTACAGTACTTTTTTTTAACTTGAACAAGCATATATTTCAATAAATATAAATATTTTCATTACATTTTTAATTGGATTACAGACAGTACAAAACAAAGCTTTACGACTAGTACTCAACAAATCAAGGGACCCACTGACGAGACACTATTACTCTATAAAATAATTACATGAACAGTATCGACGTATCGACGATACTCGAACAAATTAAAAAGCTCAATGACAACTTTTACCTAAACTGTAAGGATCATTCAAATAAGAACATCCAGGCCCTTGGCCAATAAAGTCGCGAAATAGTTTGGTATGCAAGGCCAAACTATATACTATAATATCCATGCCATACTATATACTGATCTACTCATAGATGTAATTAGAACTCTTCATTTCGCTAAAAACTGATGTGATTTTTTTTAAGAATGTGCCAAAGCATTATTTTTTTATCGCATAAAAACAAAAGAAAAATAAGATAGATAATTAGTAAAAAAGCCAAAGCACGAATTGTCACTAGAAGAATTGAAGTAATTGCAGAGAATTTGAAGATAGAATTAGCAACTATGGTATTAGATATGAAAAATTATTAGTTTTTCCACAGATGGATGTATTGATACAAGTGACAATTATATCACAATTAGCATTTTGCATGAATTAGCTATTAAAGGGAAGCACCAAAGAAGTAGATAATTTTATTACTTTCAAAAAGTATATAACAATATAAAATTACCTGTAGTTATTGTCAATTACTACACATACAGCTTTATTTTTGCTGCCAGGTGCTCACGTGCTTCCAAATTGATAAAAGAAATTCTCTGAACGTTTTAGCTCTTAATATTACCTTTAAGATAGTTCACACCCCAACCAAAGTTTCTTATGGAAATAACATAGGTAAAATTCCATTTGTTTTTAAGAATTTTATAACTTAGCGATACGTGAATCAAAATTTTGAGCATAACATTGTATTTGATTATTTTAATCATAAATAAAAAAATACAACAAAAATTTGATATATTTTATAAAAAAAGTATTAACTTAAGAAGAAGAATCAAGAAACTTTGGTTGGAGTGTGCACTTTCAGAGAATTATTCAGACGGTAATTTTAGGTTATGCTAATCTTGGACGGGGGCTGTATGCTAAAAAAATTATTTTGATTTTAAAATACTATTTAAGAATGCAATGCAAAAATCATTTGTTTTAAATGAATCAATTTTTTAATCAGAACAATTGACTTTTTGCAAGAACTTTATTATTCGATTATATGTTATATTATATCTTATATTTTTCGCTTTTAAACTTTTTATAAAATTTTGTTAATTTTTTTTATAATTTGTAATTTTATTATTACAATTAATTTTTATAATTTATTTATTTATATAATTTAGGAAAATAGTACTAATGCCAGACACCCATCAAAAAGTTTTCATAATTTTTGTTATTATTAATGTAAGAGGCTATTCTAAATCCGCCTTCAAAATTTCACTCGTATTGTATTGAGCAATTTTTTCATTCATAACGTATTGTTTCATATGAGCATATCCTTTGCACATCTTATTTTTAGATATTTGAAAGGATTGTTCTAATTTTTTTATCAAATAAGAGTGAAGATTAAATTTGTTTATACTTCTTGAAAACCCGGAACAAAAGATCTAGATCCGGAACAAATAATGCTTTTAATAGAACCCGGGACAGAAGGTGGAAATCCGGGATTATCCTGGCCAAACCGGGATATATATTTATAAATATATATATATATATATATATATATATATATGTATATGTATATTATACATATATATGTATATATATGTTTATTATATTTTAATGTAATTTTGGAGTAAATTTACCAATTGATAAATTATATTTATTAATCAGTTATGACTTCAGAATTTATTCAAAAGTGGATAGTTTTCCTGTTATAACTGTATTATATATATATATATATATATATATATATATATATATATATATATATATATATATATATATTTAAACTGATATGTTTGCCTATACTCAAGAGCACATACATATCTGAGCACACTTTTTTTTAGCCATATCTATCGCCTATATATTACCTGAGTACTGTGCTAAGTGGTCATTTAGGTGTAGCCAACTGGAAAACAATCAATCAAAATTCATAAAAAAGTTATAAAAAGTTAGAAAAATGGTTACAAAAGTAGCACTGTTGGTTTTTGCTGTTGCTGTCGCCCAAGTAAGTGAAAATATTTTAGTTATTTCTTTCTGTAGTTTTAATTTTTGTAATGTACTTTTGTAGTATTTTCTGAATCATATTAAAATAGTGGAAATTATACATATTATTTTGTGTATTTTTTTTAATTACGATATTTGTTACAACTGCTAAATAATTTACCATCTAGTAATAATAATGAACAATAACATAAATTTCAATAAAAAAGAGTACAAAATAAAGGATAGTATTTTCATTAAAATGATGTCCGTAGTATGATGATTTAATATAAAATAAAAGCAAATAATAATAATAATAAAATTAATAAATAAAATAAATAAAATTTCCGAATAAAAAAAATAATACTATAAAAACAATATTTCATATTATTTTGTAATTACATTTTTTAATTTGGTAATTTTTAAAAGTTTAGAATATAATTTGTTTTGCAATATGTATCAGGATTACTATATCAAAGTATATTTTACGTTTGGAGTAAATGACATAAATGAACTAATAAATAAATTGTAAATTATAAATGTTATTCCAAAGATCAGAAAGATTTAATAATTCTCTCTAAAGTGTGTAAAAAGGTACTTTTAGATGATTTTCAAAATGCTCTGAAAACTTTATTAAAAACCACGTGGTGCGTTAGAAATTTGAGTCACGTTTTCGAAAATATTTATAAATATTATTATTAATTATATATTATTAAATATAATATTTATAAATATTTTTTGAAAGAATACTGCTGTGTGCAATATGTTTTTTTATTTCTATTTACTATATTTCTTTATCATTTGTCTTTATAAAACCAAATTTATCAACTTATTACATTCACACGTGGAACGAAAAGGAAACTTTTGCATCGTAAATTTAGTTGCTGTGATAACGATTAATATTTTTTATAAATTTTATAAATTTTAAAATATAATGTTTATGAATATTAATTTCTGAAATAATTCTGCTATATGTAATGTTTTCTTATTAGTCATTGAAATTTTATTTACTATATTTCTTCAAAATAACGAAAAGGAAAATATTGCCTTGTAAATTTAATTGCTTTGATGACGATTAATATTTTTTTTAAATGTGTTTATAAATAATAATTTTCGAAAGAATTTTGCTATATGTAATGTGTTTTCTTATTAGTCATTAAAATTATGTTTACTATATTTGTTTAAAATTTGTGTTTATAAAAGCCAATTTATCAACTTATTATAATCGATACTCACACGTGGAACGCAAAGGAAAATATTGCATCGTAAATTTAGTTACTGTTATAACAAATGATATTTTTACTGAAGATACTTAATATATACGTAATTAATATAATTGTAATTGAATTGAAATAATTAATATAATTGCATCCGAATGCAAGAAAATGGAAAACAGTTTTGCAAGGCGGTCAAAAATACATAATTTGGAATTGTAATTTTTTAAACTTTGTTAGTATTTGACATTCAAATATATATGCATTGAAATAAATTTAAATCAACATTAAACACACACTGAATTAACATTCGATTTAAACATTTTAAGTTCCTACTACCAAAAAAGTTGCTGAGAAAAAAATAACATTAAGCATAATCACGAACTAAAGTTCATAGTTTCATGTACATAGTATACTTAATTTAACAGTCATTTTTAAGTGAATGAAAATAAATTAATACCCGAATGAAATTGAAAAAAAAGAATTAATATAGTAATATATTTTATTAACGATGAAACTAATTGTAAGTATATTATGCACTTGAAACTGTGAATCTATATGTTCTTTCGGGATTTTTTATTTTAAATGCATATATTTCCATATCAAATAATAATGAAGTCAAAGTATAACTAAAAATTAATATCTACTAACATAAATAGCTATTATCTATCATTTTATAGCTTAAAAAATCTATTGCGTTTCGCTATTATATTAACGGCTTATATTACACGTTAATAGTTCACATAAAAAAAAATAAAAAAAAAACTTTCCAAATGTGAAATTTATTACAAGTTTTATCACTAATTCATCAAATCACTACGAAATTTTGATAGGTAACCCAGAAATGACTTTAATTGAGATACCAAACATTTTTGCAAATAATACACAATAATTTATTAGAAATATACCTTAAAATTAAGTGTTATTGGTTTAACATATCATATTTTTGTGTTTCTATATACATTTAAAATTTTATATAAATGTTACAGTACGTTATTAAATTTTTTTGTTATGGTGTTTTATATTTAAATTGTGAAGACTGCTAAATTAATCGAAGTCACTTCTATCAGTTATTATATAATTAATATGTAATATAATATATTTTATTTTTTTTAGTCTGCAAACATTTTATATCCTATATTTTACTTGAATTCAGTATAACTCAACTAACTAAATATAAAAAATTTTCAAGAATAAAAAATATAGGAAAAACACTTGCATTCATATGCACACATAAGAATATGAAATACATACTAATGTTTTTGCTTGGTTTTTAATTTTCATATTGTTTGTTTTGATAAGTAGCATCGAAGAATCAAAATTTCGACATTAAAAACGCCATTTACAATTTCTTTTATATATAATTATATCGACGTTTTGTGGATATTTGGGGGATATGGTTCAGTTCTTCAGGAACTATTGAATCAAACAACTTATACACTTATACACTAACTTATACAGTTAATAATTATTTCATTTAATATAATTATGAAAAGATTTTATTTTTACTTTTGAAAGATTGAAATTATAAAAATATACATTTCATATAATATAAATGATGCGTTTTATATTATCTGTATTTATCTATAAGTGCACTTGCGGTTTAGAAAATTCCACCAGTCAAGAGATACTTGATACACACATTCAATCCAGTTTAATAACGCAGTTTTATAGATAATAATAGAAAATATTACGATTCTATACGATTATATCGATTGAATTTAATTGCAATTTAATAATATTGCATGATTATTTCATAATTTTAGTCGCAGTGTTTGAATTTGAATTTATTTGAAATTTGAACATACAGATTTAGTATCTAATTTGTCAAACAATTTGATCGCAAAACGAAATACAATATGCAATTAAATTTATTTTTAAATATATTTAAAAAATGATTGATAGACCTGTACAAAATTGATTGAATACTGATGAATTAAATTCCATTTTCATCGATTACGTTCATTTTTTCAATGTACATATAGATAGTCAATCACAACAAATATTATTCTATATTTTAGGCCATTTACGGTCTTAAGCCCGTTTATTTCAATGCAATACGTTCATAACTGTAGTTCATAACGAAACGCGTTTACGGTTAAAAATAACAATTAAATGTAAAAAATAAAAAATGGCAATTATTAAAACAAGTTTATTCACAACATTATTATAGTTTTCCTGCATTTTTAATACGCTGTATTTTGTAGGATTTCATATCCTTGTCCTTCCCTTCCAGTCTTGCCATATTTTATCCTATAACTACAATTAATCCTTTAATTAATATATACCTATTCCAGTTTTCTTTTTGTTTTATAATGGCATTCTTTAAATATCTCTTGTTCGAACAATGTTTTACAGTACTACTCCAAATGAAAAATTTACATAGGTACTTTTATCAAGGAAAATTATATTTTAATTTATTGAAACTACGTTTATTTATGTTTTTTATCTTAGGTTTCCTGCGATGGTTTGACGTGGAAATACCACCCGACCCTCTCAGCATTTATGCTGAAAGGTACAGAAGAAATTGGTAAAGATTGTTCAGCTGCAGGAGAAATTAAGTGCGAGGATTGTCAGACCGCAAACCTTTGCATTTCGATTGGAACTGATTTCTTGGAAACAACATTGGAAACATGTCCGAGTAGTAAGTCATTTTGGATAATCTTTATCATATAATATTTTGCCACCGAAAAAAGGTTTATCTTGCAATAATAAGTTTAACTAATTCCGATATGAATATGGTTAATTTGATGATTATTTAATTAAATTTACAGCAATGACTTGCAGACCAGGTACAGGTTGCGTTGCAGCCGGTGGAAATACAGATTACTGTCCTGATGAAACTGCTCCCGTAGACAACAGTTTTGTATGCGAATCTATTGGTAAGGAAATTCTAATGATTATTCATTCAATACATTATTTGACAAATTAGGTAGAAATAAAATTTCTGTTCGACAGAATAATAGTTTAATCACTTTCTTCTCTACAAAAATCATCTAATGATAAAATGTTTACTCAATCTAAGTTAAGTATAATTATAACAATGAATTTATAATAATGTAGAAAGTAAGGACTTTAAATTATTCTATTGTACAAACGAGTGGTGCAAGGCACTGGGCTTCAAGGCAAATTGCTTTAACTTTCCGTACATTTTTGAAATAGAAATAATCAATCATCGATAAAAATTTATCAATAAATTACTCATTTTAATTAAAATTGTTTAAATATCTTAAAATAATTATTATAAATAATGTGAATTTCATCTTCTTAGTCTATAAATTTCTGGACTTGTCCTTGTCAAAACTAATCAACACATTTTCCCTTCAATACGAATCGAATGTTTTTTTAATCAATCAAGTTGGTTGACCCGTGCTCCCGATAACGTGTACAAAAAATGTATCCAAACATACACGCCACATATACATTTATTTTTTCTAAGGTATGCAAAACATTCAGAAACCTTTGAAACTTAAAGATACGCGAAAATTTTCATTTTCGATTTTTTTACAACTAATATAACTTACCCTAAGAAAAGTTAATAAAAGTAAATATTTTATTTTACTGTAAGAGTATATAATATGTATATTGATTGTTATATATTTGTACTGTCCAATTTAAGTTCACTTCTTCAAATTTATTGGCAATAAATATGCACCGGAAAGGAAATAATTTTAAAGATATTTTATTGATAAAACTTTTTGTTTTTTAATCGTATTTGAATACAAATTTATAGATAAGTCTATTCTAACATTGTACGATATTTTGTTTCAACTTATGTAATTCTCCTTTTTATACTATCTTATTCCATATTATTTACAGATTTTTAACACATAAGCAAAATGAAAAAAATGTCTTATTACTTAATATTTTTGACTTATTTCTATTATTGAATATTACTATTTTTACTAACTTCGAGAGTCAAAATCCGAACGATTTTTTCAATAAATGTAACCTCACAGTCGCACAAGGTTGAATTTATTAAAATTATTCTTACTTTTGGTTTGCATCAAGTAATTCTTTCATCAGATTCAAATGCACTTCCAGGACATAGTCTAACATCAAAACGGTTAGATCAAAATTTGTTAAACAAATACATTTGCATTGCCATCACATCTACTCTTCGATAAAAAAAATTAAGAATATTATAAATAAATAAATAAACATGTTTTTTGCAGGTATGTTCCCTGATCTGGAAGACTGTAAGAAATTCCATTTCTGTATTCCAAATACAGAAGGTGTTAAAGCTTCCAACAGAAGCTTTTATCTACATTCCGAAATTGAAAATATGTCCATTGAAGCAATCAAAAGTCAGACCAGAGTTGACAAAACAAAACCACGCCAAAAATCCATTGAATACTTATGTGACGAAGGTTATGGATACGATCCTATGACTGCCATGTGCAGCGTAAAATTGGAAAGTAAGTACGAATTCGATAAGAAACACTATTTTCATCAGGTATTTTGATAAATCTTTCCATAGTAAAACTATAGTTCAACTTAAACCTTAGTGGAATAATTTAAGACTTTCCTTTAGTAAATGGAAAAATTTAGATCATAGCGAGCCTGATTAAAAATGTTGTGCACATCTAAAGCGATTTAGTACATTCGTTGCTTACTAACAATTACAAAAGTAAATGTTCAATGATTTTAAGTAACTCTTTTTTTCTTTGAGAACAAAAAATACTGAAGAAAAACTCTATTGAATAAAAAAAAACAGATATGTCTGTGCTTTTTGAAACCCTACCCCTCTTCACATATATATATATATATATATATATATATATATATACTAGGTGACCCGGCAAACGTTGTTTTGCTAAATAAGGTATATTCTAGACAATTTCTAGAGAATCAAAAATATTAATACTTTAAGTGTATAAGGATGTGTTGTTTGAATGCTATATACAATGAAGTATTATAAAAACAATAAACCCCAGGGCGAGGCACAAAGGTCCAATTTGACTTTGAGCAAATGTAAACTATATTGTGAAAACCATAACAATTATATCACAGCAAATAACACATATCAAACGAACAATTATCTGAGTTCAGTAAACTGCCTTCTACTTCATCATTGTAGAAATGTGCTTTTTTGCCGTCTTTCAAAAATTTGTTATCTAGACCTTTTTACCCTGTAGGCGGGGTAACTTGAAACGGGCAGGTGGCAAAAAGATTTAAAGCCTTATTATAGTTTTAAAGGTATTCTACAAAATAATTACATTTTTAACTAATGCTTAAAAACTACCAACGGAAGAAAATACTTTTATTATGGATTCTCAAAGATTATCTCCCCCATTTCAAAGATTACCGTTTTCAAATCAAGCTTGTAGCTGGCTATAAATCTTTTTTCCTCTACTTTCAAATATTGTTGTTAAACAATGCTTAACTTTACTGATTTTTGACAAATCGGTGGTTGGCCTTTTTAACCCCGGACCTTCAAATATTACTATCTATTCTGCGATAAATTCTGGAAAATTATAACTGGAAAAATGTTATTCGACAAAAGGTCCATTTGATCGATACCGAATTTAGGTTCTGAATTTAAATAACATAACTAAAAAATAATATAACCTAGAAAATGTTTTATAAATACCAATGAGCATATAATTATACAAATAAGATCTTTCAGAGCACCGTGTTTGAGAAAAATATGCCAAAAATGCATTTTCATATTAACATATCAAAAAAGTTTACATTTTGAGTCTCTAGTAACACTTGGGGCCCGTTTACTAACGTTCTTGTATATAAATAAAACTACAAACAAAACTACTTACTACAAATTTAAATAATATTCGCGTAAAACATCCTATTAAACGTAATTGAACATCATCTGTCAAAAGCGTTTAACATTTCACGAAATGGCCACCGTCCATTGTTCTATTTAAATTACGCTTCTACAAAAATTTTCAAATTATAAATGTAAAGTTTCTACGCGGATTTGAAATAATTTCTCACCTTTTGGACATTCTCTGGATTGGCACGAATTTTTCAAGACTAAGACTGGCCAAATCGATTCAGCCGTTTTCGAGTTTTATTCGGACATTTGAAAGAGAGCTCCATTTTTATATATAAGATATATATATATATATATATATATATATATATATATATGTCACTATTTATTATATATTATTATTATATATATATATATATATATATATATATACTAGACGACCCGACTGACGTTGTCTTGTACCCACGTCTACAATTTTTTAATATCCTGTACTAATATTTACCGTTTACCTAAAAATAATAATAATTACCATGTCCTGTACCCACGTCTACAATTTTTTAATATCCTATACTAATATTTACCGTTTACCTAAAAATAATAATTATTGGTTTTTTAAGTTACTCTTCACGCCAAAATGCATATACATTTATAATATGAGCGATGTTAAATGAAGAACTGCTTTAAATAAAATGATGAGTCTCAATTCCCACACTATATTGGAAATTAAAGTCTATATATATAATATAATATAAAGTCCATATGTGGATATGTTGATATATGAAACTTTTAATTGAGTTGCGGGCTATCTAAATGTTAATATTGAGAGCTAAAACTGTTAGAGGTTTTTTTATTCATTTCGAATCATTTGTTGAGCCCTTGAGAGCAAAGAAATTCGAATATATATATATATATATATATATTGAAATAGTTCGAATATTTTTTCCATAACAGATGACAAATGTATGAACAAGGACGGCATCCAATGCAAAGCAGTTGGCGAGTCTAAAGCTCTCAGCCTTGGTTCCAGCTACTTCTACGTCTGCCATAGAGTTGCTGGAGGATACGCAAATCCTCAAGGATCACTTGTTCCCAGGCTATATAGGTGCCCCCATGGTGAATTTTTCTTCAAAGGTTCCTGCATCGAACAGGATGACGAAGATGAAGATAATCTTGTGAGTTTGTTGAAAGAATAACATGATTTTATACTAACCAAAGTAAGATAGTTTAATGTATTTTACTAACCAAATAAATTATTGTCAATTGAGATGTATTTTATTAACACAATAACTTTTAAAGTAAAGGGTTAGTAATTATAATAGGACGCTGGTAATATTTTCTGACAATTGTTCATACTTTTGTGTTTTTTAATTTGTTTTGTAATTTAAGTATCAGTTCTTTGTATCATCTTGTTTCAATCATGTCGAATTCAATACAAGTCATAAATGAATTGTTTCCATTATTTCCTTTTCTAGTGACTTTTAATTATCAGACATGGATGTTTCAAACATGTTGCAATATAACTACAGATATAATAGTTACATAGATCAGTTAGATCTAATACAGTTTCTTTTCACCTAGTTTTCAATATTTTAAAGAACCTATTTGAATTAGTTAACGTTTTTAACTTCCCGAAGGAGAAGTTTATGTTTTCATCAAAAAACCCGATTCGCTAATTTTATGTTTTCTCATAGCCATTCTGAATCGAATGAGACCAAATTTGGAAAAAGTATGTGTGTGTGTGTGTGTGTGTGTGTGTGTGTGTGTGTGTGTGTGTGTGTGTGTGTGTATGTGAACAGATTTTTTGCCGTAAATCGACGTTTTCTCGAAAACGGCTGGGTCGATTTCAAAAATTTAAAAGCCATTCGATGTATCTCGACGAGAACTATTGTTTGTCAGTTTTGTGCGACGATCGGCCAAGCCGTTTCTTCATAAATGGCAGAAAAGTGAAAAAATTTTCGTCTACGTTTTAGCCCGCAATTCTGAATCAATTTTGAAAATTCAAAAACCGTTCGAAAGATATTGGTTGGGAATCGTGCTGATTAGTTTTTAGTAGAGATCGGCCGGGCCGTTTCCTTGTAATAAAGTTTTTTAAAAAAAAAATTCGACGATTTTCATGATTATTTTTTTGACGATAGATACCATAGTCTTCTAGATCGTACTAAAATATTACGGCCCTACGACAACTGGTTCAGCTTTAAAAATTCGTCAAAGTTTGCAAAAATCAGTATGGTCTTTTTGGCATTTGTCAAAATTAGACTTTTGATCGACGTTTTCTCAAAAACGCCTGAACCGATTTTAGAAATTTAAAAGGCATTTGATGTATTTCGGTGAGGACTATCGTTTGTCAGTTTTGTGCAACGATCTGCCAAGCCGTTTCTTTGTAATTTGAAAAAAACTTTTCGTCCACATTTAAGCTCATCCTACCGAACGATTTTAAAAAATCAAAAACTGTTCGAAAGATATTAGTTGGGAATGGTACTGATTAATTTTAGGTGAAAATCTACCGAGCCGTTTTCTTGTAATTAACTGTTGAAAAAAAGTGTTAAATTTTCGTCGACATTTAAGCTCATCCTACCGAACCGATTTTAAAATATCAAAAACTGTTCGAAAGATATTAGTTGGGAATGATACTGATTAATTTTAGGTGAAAATCTACCGAGCCATTTTCTTGTAATTAACTGATGAAAAAAAGTGTTAAATTTTCGTCGACATTTAAGCTCATCCTACCGAACCGATTTTAAAATGTCAAAAACTGTTCGAAAGATATTAGTTGGGAATGATACTGATTAATTTTAGGTGAAAATCTACCGAGCCGTTTTCTTGTAATTAACTGTTGAAAAAAAGTGTTAAATTTTCGTCGACATTTAAGCTCATCCTACCGAACCGATTTTAAAATATCGAAAACTGTTCGAAAGATATTAGTTGGGAATGATACTGATTAATTTTAGGTTAAAATCTACCGAGCCGTTTTCTTGTAATTAACTGTTGAAAAAAAAATTTAAGCCAATTTTCATGGAAATTTTTTTGGCGATATACATCATGGTCTTATAGAACTTACTGTAATATTACGGCCTAACGACAAGTAGTTTAATTTTAAAAATTCGTCAAAGTTTGCTAAAATTATTATCGTTTTTTTTTAAAGTAGGATTAATGAAGTATATTATTTACACATTTTTTTTGATTAAGTCGATTATTTACACATTTCGGGAAGTTCATGTAACTTGCCTCAAGGCTAAATACCAAACCAACTAGTTAGCATTGTATTACTAACAGCATGTTAATTATAAACATTACTAAAAAATTAACATTACTGAAAGATATTAAGTAAATCTTGAACATGATTTAAAATAACAAATACTATGAATAAAATAAAAATCTTTTAATGAATAAAATATTAATAACCAAAATTATTGACCATGAATATAAACTTTTTATATTTTTCAATATATAGTTTTTTTTGCCGAGTCTTGTCGCTAGTATAAACCACATGTGCCCAAATTTTGTTTTGGTAATTTGTTGCTAATTTTTGTAAATTTTGCAAACGGATGCTCATAATTAATAGTAATCTTTAAGCCCACCATTGAATTTTTGCATCCAAAATTTTTTTCTTTCAGAACTATTTCAACTTTTATATTTCAAAAATTATAGGAACAATTTGAGACAAAAATTTCTTCTGGCGTAATGTGGAAATCCGATACTGTTCCGACCAAATTGGGTCGTATAAGAATCTGAAATTAAACTCTCCTAAATTTTCATGAGTTATATCTATTACTATAAACTCCAGTTTACCAGAGAATTCAATTTAAAGAAAGATTTTTTTAAAAGTGAACTTACTTGAATGTGTAGATATAAGAAATGAGGGTCCTATTGGAAAAGTAAATTCGAAATTATTTGTGTTTCTAGAAAATTATTACATACAATAAATTATAATTTATATAAATTAACTTATAATTAATAATTATTTGATTTGCAAAAATTTAGATTAACTTTGTGATGTTTCATAACTCTTTCAGTTTTACGTTTAATTTAAAAATACTAGATAAATAAAAGGTGTTTCAATATTTTCTTAAAAGAAAACTATAGATTAGGATACATATATAGATTGAAAATGATATAAAAATTAGAATGTAAATAAATAAAAATGTTGTAGGTGGCTAAAGGCTCAGAGTAAGCGAGGCCAAATAAAAAAATTTAAAAAAAAAATATTTTCTTAAAATTATTTTCCTAAAATTACATCATCCATACGTGAAATTTTTATGATATAATTACCTTTATACTATCAAGAACTGGAAAGAAATCTTTCGGTATAACTATATTAAAAATTACCTATGTTTTAATTCACTCTGTATAATTTATTTTATCCCTACTTAATAAATATAAACTTCATATATTACGTAAGTACTGAAGCAACTATTAACTAGTAGTGTATGGCATCGTACCTTAAGGTAAATTGCTGGTACTTCCCGTATCGTAATAAAATATTCGAGGAAAATTAAATGTTTTCAAATCGATTATTTTAAATACTGTAAATTATATATGTTCACAGAAAAGTAAATAAACAAAACTGAATCAATCAAATATAAATGAAGAACATCGTCTAAATATTTATAATATTATAAATTATATAAACTGAATTGTATAAACTGAATAGCAAAGTTAAGTGATTTTTAGAATATCAGCCAGAGTTAAAATTATTCGAATTATTTTCGGTATTCAAAAAATATATTTTTTGAAAATTAAAAAAAAAGAGTTGAAAAAAAGTAGCGTTAAAACAAGCAGAAGTTTGTTGAATCGTTCAACTAGTTACAATTTGTCTTTCTCATGGTAAGCCTTTTCAGCTTGCGCTTATCGATAAACGTTCTACTATAAAATTAACCACTACTAATCTATTTCTGTTAATTTTCATTTGTTTTTACGTTATAGCAACCAACATCAACATCTAACCCAACATCAACGTCTGAACCAACATCTCGATGTAAGGTAGCAGGCTTATTTCCAGACCCAAATGGAAATTGTGATGATTACATTGACTGTCCAGAAGTTGGTGCTAAACCAGTCAGCAGAACATGTCGTCATGGGGCTAAGTTCAATCCAATTACGAAACATTGCGTTAGGGGCAGGTGTTGATATACAGCAATAATATTATAGATTATTTCATATTTTATAAATTAAATACAATAACTTAAAAATAAAGTCCAAAAGATAGTTTATATATTATAGATAGAAAATAGAATAAATTATCAAATTTTAGAATTTCCTGTTATATAATATTATCTAGTAATAAATTAATCATAATATTAGCACACGTTTGATGAACAAGAACTTTGAACGGTATGTAAAATTTATTATTATTATTATTAAAAGTTTCATATATTTATTTATTAACATGTCATTAAGTAAATTTGTAGTTTTGATCGCAATTTATTACTGATAATTTACTCACAGTAATAAAATAAAATTTAATTAAATAAATATTTTGCTGCCATGATAAATAAATATTCAGGTAAACAGTTTACATTTATCTGAATCTTTTTAAATTCTCAATCTTTTAAAGACTAAAATTGTGGACTTTGCTCTTTTAAAGGGTTCGTTCTATCCGAGCCAATCTGACTTGTTTATCTATGAATCTGACGGTCAGAAACCATCCGCGCATGCGCAGAACACTTTTTTCTGTTCCATGTTCTGTTTCAAAAGTTCGGACCATAGACCTGATATACATGGACTGCTAGTCCCCATACATTTCTCAGGTAAAAAAGTGTCAAAAAATGTTCTATGGTATGAGGGCATATGAGGGTAATTTCGCGGCCGAGATATGTCAAAAATACGAACACGTCAATTGCACTCGATCGCTTAAACGTCAAATGAAAGTCCGTGTGTTCGAAATTGTTGGGAAATTATTATATAATATACAATTTATGTTGAACTAATGAATGTACTGAACTATTTATTTATTTTAGTTATACAAAGTTTTAAGGGAAATTAGAAAAAAAAATTAAAAAAATATTTTACATATATAAAATTAACTGAAAATAAGAACAGTTGGCTTGAGCTATTATGAGAAATTAGAAAACAATAATGAAATATTTGTTTAAATTATTGGTGTTTAAAAAACACAATTTTCGTGTGAAAGTGGCGTACATATTTATCAACTTTGCTTTTTTATGTTCTTCATGGTGCATTCTATTTGTTAAGTACATTTTACCACAGACCAAACACATTTTAGAAGACATTTTACTTCTTATTAGATTTTGTCTGGTACTAACAATTTTAAAACGCGTATTTTTATCCTCTTTTAGGTAAAAAAAACACGAGCGATCAAACACCTCGTGAACCCAAGCAACTGTAAAATTTAAGCAATCGAGAGTATTCGAGTAATCTCGGTAAAGCTCGTGTTTGTATTTGACATATCTCGGCCGCGAAATTACCTTCATATGCCCTCATACCATAGAACATCTTTTGACACTATTTATGCGCTCAATAAGCAGTCCATTCCATGTATTGTATAAAATCTATGGTTGTATATCCTGATGACAGGTGACAGGAGACCGGATGACACTTCAAGAAAGCGCATGGCGCAAGGTTTCTTGGTCGGAGAGCGAAATTGCGCAATCCATTTTAATCTCAGCCATCGCGGAACGAATATCTTGGAAAACCAGTAGACACTCCAGTAATAGGAAGCCAGTGGACACTCAAGTAGTACGTAAGTACATTTGCCACATTTTAGTCGTTTTATTTTGCCATTGTACCCTGTGAAAGTAAAAGGTTGTATGGCGAGTATTTTAATATTTAGTATTTTGCATTAGTGATTGTATGTAATCGGTTTGAGAATTATTTGTAGATTCGAAGCTTATGCGGGTGTTTTCATGATCTTTCCCAAAGGTGCTACAAATACCCATCACTACATAATGACAGATTTTGATTGAGGTTAGTAACAATTTGAGAAGATAAATGGCGCGTCAAATCTCATGCGATCATAGATGCGAATATCGAGTGTTTTCATGCAGTTTGAGAAATTATTGAGAAAAGGACCATTGATATTGTTTTGATGCAGATGGTTGTCTTTCAATTTCATTGGGGAGTTGTTTTAATGGCCTATATCGCATCAATTGGAAATCTTATCTGAATCTTATTATTCTTGACAGCTGCTACGATTTAAAGTTTCCTAGGCAAAATGCATTGAAGCTAAGTCATGTGAACACTGAATTATTTCAGTTATTTCTCATAACAAGAATTACTGTAATGATTAGTCAAAGATATGTGCAATATTCAATTTCAGATGAAGACATACAAAAAGTAATCCAAACTTAGTATTACCTTTTATATTTCAGCTCTGCTATAAAATAGATGTCGACAATAATCAAGTAATTGAATTATAAAAAATAAGTCAACTCTGGAATGAGAATCCTGTATTATCTTACTAGCTTGCTTGCTGCAGTAGACTTTTGCTTCATTAACTATCGGTAAGATAACAAAACAAGCAATTCTTATTTTGTAAGATACAAGTCCAATTATTTAGGTTTTGAGAAACCTAGAGTATGATTATGCTTTTTAATACACACTTATAAAATACTACAAGGACAAGATCAATACATAGTCTTTCCAGAAACATACTCCAAGCTTCAACTGTTAACTGCTAATGCTTACAGTTCAAATAAAACATGTAAAACTAATCACAAAATTATCAACTCATATCATATCTTAAAATAATTAAATATTCAAAATATTTGTACAATATTTATTATATAGGCTCTGTATTGATACTTTTTTCTTGATACAGTTTGCTGATGAACCTGCTGATGAACCACAATTAAGGATGGCAACCCATAAGAGACGATATCTGCTAAGGGATCAAAAAGACTTTTCTGGAAACTGAATTTATTAAGAGACTTTAAGGTATGCATTTTATTTAATCATTTGATTAATTATTCATCTTAATATTTTGATATCGTCATTAAGAACTTATTCATATTTTTTTCATTTTATTTAATTTTTATTTTTATATATTTAACTTTCCATTATTACAATAATGTGTAATAAATCCACTTGGAATACTAATAAATCGCTCATCAATTAAGTCAATTATTTACACTATATCGCAAAGATCATGTATTGTGTCTTAAAATACCGCTTACAAATAGTTCAATTTTTTCATTATTCACTTACTCATTCACGAGTTTTAATTATTTATTTATTTATGCATACAATTGATATTTTTTACTAGTTGTTTATTTTTTATTTTTTTTACTTACCCATTTAATAATTTAGGAACTTTCTGTAGTTTCTCTACGATTATTGTAATCGTCCAAAAATCGAAAATGAAAATTTTTACATATCACGTTTCAAAAGTTTCTGAAAGTTTTAGCAAACCTTAGAAAAAATTGTGTATGTGTTTTGTTTGTGGATACAATTTTTCTTCTTAAATGAAAAAATTTGTACTTTTTGAGAGACCGAAGCTTTGGATTTTAATTTTGATTTCTAAAATACGAATAATGAAAGTGTCATTATTTAAAATAATCTATTTGAAAATGTTTAATATTACTTGGATATTTTATTACGTTATGGAAAGTTCTAGCAATTTGCCTTAAGGCACGTTATGGACCACTAGCTTGTTTCTAAAATTGATTCATACATTTATCTATTCTTCATTTCAATTATTTTGTTTATTTATATACTTTCCATATCAATTATTCACTTATTTTTTATTATTTAGTTTATTCTTTTCAATTTTGCGATTTTTTCTATAAATTATTTATTTTTTATTCATTTATCTATTGTTTATTTTTACTTTTATATATTTTTAATTTTAATTAAAAATTAAATAATGTAATTTAAATTAATTTTAATTTTATTGATAATTGTCTAATCGGACCGATTCGAAATTTTTTGCGCACGATGTCATTTTTGAGCCGTGTCAAGTGGCTCCGCCGGCGACTTGATTGGTCCACGCGGTTGTCAACTCGTTCATTTGTGTGATGGACAGCAATGCAAGAGGACCTCCAGGACCAAGGGAGAGGACCCAGGGAAGTACCCAATAATATTAAGTGTGTTATGAAAACGAGCAAAATTAAACAAATCATTGTTGGGTTCTCATTCATTCATTCGCATTTGATTCCATTGTATTTTAATTTTGTGCAATTTCTTTTAATAATTTGTGACATTGACAGTAGATTGTGAACGGCATACGTAGTTTGGCGCGATCGTATCTATTTGACAAATACAACCTCTTGCTATATAATCAATTTTCTAAGTACTGCTTTGCTAGCATATTATGTAATGTCATGATTCAGATAATTATTTGCATGCTAATATAGTAGTTTGGGGTAGTAGAAAGTTATGTAGGTAGCATTCGTAGTTCTAGTTTTGACTGACACACTAACACAATAATCCACTATTAAACAAGAATGTAATAATCTGAATCATTCGACATTATGTATTACTTAATTATATAATTATTAAACTATTGTCAATTATAAACAACTGCTGCCGTTTGCAATCCATATAGCATTGCGCCAATTTATTATTATTCTGATATGCATAAGTTGTTATATTGATGCATTAATTTTTTTTTCATCACTTTTAGGGCGTTCTTGAAAGCCATAATACAAAAATCAATTAAGGACAAAGTGTGAGCAATGAATATTATCAATCCATGAAATAGTTTGAATCTGGGATTTATATATTTAATTTTCACCTGCAGATAACTTCAGCTACTTCAACAGTATGTGTTAGTTATCAAACATTTTAAAAGATGTATTCCATTCTGTTTTTTTTTCCAGATTAAATTCTCCACTACTGAATCAACTGCCCTATTCGACCCAACCGACTCTAGTCAATCAAACAGTAAGAACTTATCAAGTATCTATCAGGCAGTCTGTATCCTTTATCAAACATTTTAAAAGAGATGTTCTAATCTTTTTTTTTTTATTTCAGATTCAATTATCCACTTCTGAATCAACAGCCCTCATCGCTTACAATCCATCAAACAGTAAGAACTTATCAAGTATCTATCAGGCAGTCTGTATCATTTATCAAACATTTTTTAATAATATATAATAATCTTTTGTTTTTTTTATTTCAGATTCAATTATCCACTTCTGAATCAACAGCCCTCATCGCCTTTAATCCAT